GCCACCATGCCCAGCTAATTTTTTGTATTTTTAGTAGAGACGGGGTTTCACCATGTTGACCAGGATGGTCTCGATCTCTTGACCTCGTGATCCACCCGCCTCGGCCTCCCAAAGTGCTAGGATTACAGGCTTGAGCCACCGCGCCCGGCTCTAATGGTTTTTTAAGGCTGTGTTTGGGTGATTGTTTGTCAGCAGGGCTATCATATGCCCCCTTGTGGCAGCACACTTGGTCACAGAAAGTAGTGGTTAAGAGGTACAGTTGGCCCTCTGTATCTTTGGGTCCCGCATCCATGGATTCAACCAAGTACAGATCAAAAATATTCAGGGAAAAAAACTAATAAAAATAACAATACAGGTCGGGTGCAGTAGCTCACGCCTGTAAACCCAGCACTTTGGGAGGCCGAGGCTGGTGGATCGTGAGGTCAAGAGATCAAGAACATCCTGGCTGACATGGTGAAACCCAGTCTCTACTAAAAATACAAAAATTATCCGGGTGCCACACCTGCCTATAATCCCAGCTACTTGGGAGGCTAAGACAGGGGAATCGCTTGAACCCAGGAGGCAGAGATTGCAGTGACCCGAGATCATGCCACTGCACTCCAGCCTGGTGACAGACTGAGACTTCATCTCAAAAAATAAATAAATAAACAAATAAAGTATATGGGAGCTGATTGCAGTGTCTCCAGCCTTAGCAACAGAGTGAGACTCTCAAACAATAAATAGGCTGGGCACAATGTCTCACACCTATAATCCTAGCACTTTGGGAGGCTGAGGTGGGTGGATCACCTGAGGTCAGGAGTTCAAGACCAGCCTGGCCATCATGGTGAAATCCCATCTTTAAAACAAGAAAGAAAGAAAAAAAGAAAGAAATAGGCTGGGCATAGTGGCTCATGCCTGTAATCCCAGCACTTTGAGAAGTTGAGGCAGGCAGATCATGAGGTCAGGAGATTGAGACCATCCTGGCCAACATGAGGAAACCCCATCTCTACTAAAATACAAAAATTAGCAGGGCGTGGTGGTGCATGCCTGTAATCCCAGCTACTTGGGAGGCTGAGGCAGGAGAACCGCCTGTACCTAGGAGATAGATACAGTGAGCCAGATGGCGCCACTACACTCCAGCCTGACGACAGAGCAAGACTCCGTCTAAAACAAATAATAAAGTATATGGGAGTTGATTGCAGTGTCTCGAGCCTGTAATCTCACCCACTTGGGAGGCTGAGGTGGGAGGATTGCTTGAGCCCAGGAGTTTGAGGCTGCAGTGAGCTTCCATTGGGCCACTACACTCTAGCCTGGTGACAAAGCAAGACCCTGTCTCTTAAAAAAAAAGTATATGGGAGAATGTGCATAGATTGTATGCAAATACTATGCCATTTTATATGAAAGTTGGGCATCCACAGATTTGGTATCTGAAGGCAGTCCTGGAACAAAATTCCCCACTAATACCAAGGAATTATTGCATTCTGTAGATTTCTATGCGATTATGGGTGAGATGCCTAACCTTTTTCTGCCTCAGTTTCATCATATGTAAAATGTGGATAATAATAGTACTTGACATAAAAGATTGTTATGAGTATTAAATAAGTTGGCTGGGTGTGGTGGCTCACGCCTATAATCCCAGCACTTTGGGAGGCCAGGGCGGGTGGATCTCCCAAGGTCAGGAGCTCGAGACCAGCCTGACCAACATGGAGAAACCCACAAAAAAATATTTTGTATTTGTAAAAATACAAAATTAAACGGGCGTGGTGGTGCACGCCTGTCCTAGCTACTTGGGAGGCCGAGGCAAGAGAATCGCTTGAACCTGGGAGGCAGAGGTTGCAGTGAGCCAAGATCACACTGTTGCATTCCAGCCTGGGCAACGAGTGAAACTCCGTCTCAAAAAAAAAAAAAAAAAAAAAGTTAATATATTTAAAGTTCTTGGAACAGTGCCTGCCAGCTAGTGCTGTTTAGTCTTTGCTCCTATTAATATTGTAAACTACAGATAATAATGCCCATTTTGTTTATAAGAATTAAATGAGGTCGCCAGGTGCAGTGGCTCACACTTGTAATCTCAGCACTTTGGGAGGCTGAGGCAGGTGGATCATCTTAGGTCAGGAATTCAAGACCAGCCTGGCCATCATGGTGAAACCCCATCTCCACTAAAAATGCATAAAATCGCGGGGTGTCATGGTATATTCCTGTAATCCCAGCTACTCGGGAGGCTGAGGCAGGAGAATTGCTTGAACTCGGGAGGCAGAGGTTGCATGAGCCAAGATTGCACTATTGCACTACATCCTGGGAGACAGAGCAAAACTGTCTCCAAAAAAAAAGAATTAAATGAGATAAGTATGTCAACTACTTAACATTTTGCCTGGCAAGCAGATATAACTACTAAGTTAACTGGCAGTCTTCCTGTCCACAAAGATATGAAACACTCATTAAATGCCTTGCTGAAATAAAGATCTGTTCTTTGTATCAGTGCTTTTCAAACTTTATCATGCATAAAAAATTACCTGCATTCCACAGCTGGATCAGCAAAAAAAAAGAAAAAATAATTACCTGGGGGTCTTGTTAAAATGCAGATTCTGATTCAGTTGTGGGGTCCAAGATTCTGGCAGGCTCCTAGGTGACAACAGTGACGCTGGTCCGCAGACCACACTTTTGAGTATCACTGCTAGATGTTCTGTTTCTTTCTCAGTTCAGTTGTATGTGTTTTTTTGTTCTTGAAAGACTTGTTTTCAGCAAATTGCTTCTGGTAATCACAACGTCCCTTTCTAAAAGCTTAAAACTCATCTTTTAAAAAATAATCTATAGGCCAGGGCTAGGTGTGTATGTATGTGAAAGAGAGGATTTGCAGAGTTTACCAAGGATTGCTGTCAAGGATGTTAGGGGCTAGAAACTTTTGCAGCTCTCAGTAGATGCTCCTGCTTAGAAATTAGTATCACATTTGCTCATCTCCCGACTCTGACACCTCATTCATCTTTAAAGATCTATAGCAGGCTGGGCGTGGTGGCTTACATCTGGAATCCCAGCACTTTGGGAGGCTGAGGCAAGCAGATCACTTAAGGTCAGGAGTTTGACACCAGCCTGGCCAACATGGTGAAAAGCTGTCTCTACTAAAAATACAAAAATTAGTTGGGCATGGTGACGTATGCCTGTAATCCCAGCTCCTGGGGAGGCTGAGGCAGGAGAATTGCTTGAACCTGGGAGGCAGAGATTGCAGTAAGCCAAGATTGTGCCATTGCACTTCATTCAGCCTGGGTGATGAAGAGAGACTCTGTCTCAAAAAAAAAAAAAAAAAAAAAAAAAAAAAGATCTACAGAAAAAAAAAAAAAAAAAAAAAAAAAAAGATCTACAGCAGAGATTCATCAGGCTCTTTTTGAAGTTCTCAGGATTGTCAGATTGTTAGGGGCTCTGTTGTTTTGAAATTCACTTCTTTCTTTCTACAGAGCTTGTTTTTTCCCTCTTCAGACTGATCATTGTACTTGATGACAGAGAAATGGAAAAAGGAGTTGATCAAGACAGTTTTTGGGGGTGGAATTGGAGGTAGACAGGGTCTTACTCTATTACCCGGGGTAGAGTACAGTGGTGTAATCATGGCTTACTGCAGCCTTAACTTCCCAGGCTTAAGCGGTTCTCCCACCTCAGCCTCCCGAGTAGCTAGGACTATCGGCATGCATTGCCACACCCAGCTAATTTTTTAAATTTTAGTAGAGATGAGGTCTTGTTATGTTGCCCAGGCTGGTTTCACACTCCTGGTCTCAAGCAATCCTTCTGCCCCAGCCTCTCAAGCTCTAGACAGTTCTCACAAAACTCTTCTTGTTATCTTTAACTTTATTAACAAGCCATGCTTCATTATGGGCTGTTACTGTTGCTTTAGATTAGAGCCACCATTCTTTTTTTTACTATGCCTCTATTTTTTGTACGTGTTTGTGAGTGACCATTTGACATCTGTACTCAGGAATGCTTTTGGATTGTGCTAGTGTCTTCAGATTGTTTCCTTTTTAAATTTGAAATTAGCAGCCAGGTGTGGTGGCTCATACCTGTAATCCCAGCATTTTGGGAGACTGAGGTGGGCAGATCGCTTGAGCCCAGGAGTTAGAGATTAACCTGGGCAACACGGTGAAACCTCTCGTCTCTACAAAAAATACAAGAATTAGCCGGGTGTGGTGGTCCACATCTGTAGTCCTAGCTACTCATGAGGCTGACGCAGGAGGATCACTTGAGCCTGGGAGGTTGAGGCCTCAGTGAGGCATGTACTCACCACTGTAATCCAGTCTGAGCTACAGAGACCGT